CTCCTGCCTCCTGCCTCCTGCCCCCTGCCCCTGCCTCCTGCCCCTGCCCCCTGCCCCGGAGGGGAGCAGCAGTTGCTCCATCTCACTCGCAGTGGGGGTAGAAGAGGCCTTGGGTGGGAGAGGTGCAAGATGTCAGGCGAGCTGGGACTCTTCTGGAAGATAGGAGCGTGACAAATCCTAGCCTTCCTATATCCTTCTTTAAATACTGCTCTAATAAGACCAGTGGAGCTTGAGCTCTTCCCCCCCGCCCCGCCGCCCCCCGTATTGCTCGGCAGATTTTTAAAAAGGCCCCTTTCGTGTCCGTAGAGCTGCCCTCGCATCCCCGCATCCTCTCCTGCTGTAAAGGCCCTTTACATCGGCTTCAACAGCAGAAGAGTAACATCGCAAAAGGCTTTGCTGTAATGATGTTTAGAAGTAGTCTGCTCAGCTTGGTTTCTAGGAAATCAATTGGCTCACTTTGAACAAACATTTAGCTTTTTCTCTGTACACCTTAACAGCGTTCGATTGCGCATCCGATACTGCAGACAGCGAACGCAAGATAGGAAACAACGTGTCCCATCTCATTTCCACTGCGATGTAGCTGGGTCTCCAGTCATCTGGAATAAATCGACCCTGTACCTGGTTTGGACTCTTAGTGACCCCCCTGACCGTCCCCAGCTCCCAGCCCACTGCTGAAGCCTCTCCTGGCTGCAGGGTGGCTCTCGGTGGCATTGCGAGTGCTGCTGGGGCCTTTGGTCCCCAAGGGAGGAACGGAACGGAACCACCATCCCCACAGAAGTCGGCAGCGCCAATTGCTCGCCCGCTGAGGGGAGATGAGGAGGAAGAGGCATTTGGTGTTCCCGGTGGGTTAAGAATTCAGAGTAAGAGGCAGGGTGTGCTTGGCGCGGGGCAGCGCCCTCGCCCACTGCAGCCCTCCGAGCTGGAGCGGCTCTGGTGCTGTGTCAGTTCCACCCTCTCGTTCTTTGGGAGCGGAAGCCTGAGCAAGCCGGGAATAACAGGTGTGACAGCAGCGGCGAGAACAGACACCCTCGCGTTTGCAGTAAATATTAAATAATATCTAGGTATTAGTTGTCTAACATAAAAAAATTGTTTAAATGCTGTTGATACGGGGGGAAAGGAAATAAAAATACAAAACTTGTTCAGATGTCTGTAAAGATTATTTTGCTGTCTTTAATTCGGAAATAACCAGGGCCCTTGGCTTCCACAGCAGCTTAGCCAAATGCTCTATGAAGTATTTTACTATGATTACATATAGCTCAGTTTGGTATTTCTAAGCAGTGTAAAAGTCTCTGTTGATTTTTTTGTTTTTCCAGGCCTCAGCTTGCTCAGGTAGATGCTTTTTCATCCTCCCCTTAGAAGGAGGCAGGGGTGAAGAAGAGGCAGCTTTTCTGATGCCTTTGGGCTGCCAAAAGCGTTAGCCAGGATCCAGCTCCCTCTTGCGGGGAGCTGCTCAGCAGGAGGGAGATAGATGCAGCATCCGCAGGGAAAGATCTGGTTCTGTTCAGTTACTGCTCTGTTGATTCTGGTCCTTGCTCTAGGTTTTAAACTCTTCTTAAACAGAATAGTTTCAGCTCTGGTCATTTACTGGCAAGTTCTGGGCTCTCCCTGTTTGTGCATTAAGCATGGTTCTAGGCCAGGGATGAGGGCAAGCCTAGTCTCTGCAGCTGGGCTTGCCTCAAACTCTCCAGTTGCAGGACAAGAAATAACCCTCCTTTGGAAACAGATGAAATGCAAGCACCAGGTTAACCAAGATCAGCGAAGGATTCATCTGCTGTACCTGTTCACCACTGATGGCCTTTAGCTGTTCTGAGAAGCATGGCCCTGGGTTACATTTGCCGACAAAAGCATTCTGTGCTTTACTCGGTTGTCTGAGGAGAGTATCTACGTCAGGTCGTGGCAGACAACTGAGCCAAGTACGCTCCTGTGGGGTGCAACAGCATGAACAGCTCTAGCTTGCTGAAAACCTGCGGTTCTGTTTAACGATGAAGCGTAGTGCCCTTGATGAGCTGGTCTTGTAGCACAAAATCAAGCACCCTCTGTGTGTGTGTGGGGGGTTGCTTTAGGTCAGAATACAATTTCTGCTCGGTTTGGTACAGCAGACACCAAGTACGATGCCCTGAGGAAAGTGAGCCTGATCTGATCCTGTGTCTGAAATTCTTGTAAGTGGGACACAAAAATGTCTCTGATCTACAGCCAACAATTATCCTGTTCTCCCTCGTTAGCTCAGGAAAATCGTGTTCTAGGTTACCCTACGCGAGCCCCGCGCTGTCACCCAGACCCATCTGTCCTTGCTTCCTCCCCGAGCCCGGTAGGTACCGGTCCTGTGACTCCCGCTGCAGAAAGCTGAACTTACCTGCTTCACTTCCCTGCTAAACTACAGAGGGAAGAATATTGTGCTTTAAGGACTGAAAGTAAGCAACAGCTTTCACAACACTTTCCACAGCACTTTTACAAGTCTTGCTTGAGTTTCAGCCGAGGAGCCCAAATGAAGTGGTGGGTATTGGTTTTAAATCCTACCAGTGCAGGCAGAGGTGGCTGCGGAGCTTGCTCGGAGCACGTGAGAGCATGACTTCTCACAGCTGCAGCACAGTAATTTGTATTTCTTTTTGCAGAATCTGTGTCATCACCTTGGCAGAAGCCCATCCTCTTCTTCAAAGTGGAAAAACAATTAAAAGCGTCAATTACCAAATCAGCGCCAACTGTAGCAGACTCCAGAATAAGGTCTCTGGGAAGTCAAAAAGGGTATGGCTTTGTGATTTGGCTACTTGTTTTAATCTCTCACACTGCCCGAGACTTTCTGTCCTTTCCAAGTTACCTTTGCATTTTATTTTAAAAGTTAGAGAATTGAGATGTTCTCAAGTGGCGCCTGTCCCAGGCAGGGTCTTGTGGTGCTCCTACAGCGCCGGTGGTTCCCCGTGTTGCTCAAACCAAGGCTAACAGTCGCTTTCAGTCATTTTTTTCATAGCATAGAGGGCCTTCAGTATCACTGAAAAGATAAATGTTGGTTTTCGCCAAAATGCTGAGGATTCAGAGACTACTGTTCTTCTCAAACAGAGGGAGGTAGCCAATGGGCTAGTTCAGGGCGGGCTTTCAAACACGGGTCATTTAACCTGGTTACACTGACATGAGCAGTGCTGGTTTTCCCCCCTCTCCCCTGGTTTTAATCTGATCAAACGACAAGTCTGTTACACCGCAAGAAACTTCATTATGACTAAATGTGTAAGCTCTTAACAAGCTTCTATTCGATTTGTGCACGTAACGAAGGTGGCATCTTCCCTTCTGTAGGGAAGCACAGCTACGTGACTTGAAAGGACATCGCCCTTCCTTGCTTTGTTGCAAGAAGCCTACAAGCTTACCTTGCTGATGGTAATACTTTAAAAAGCCCTGCGTAATTAAAAGTAAATAAAAATATACATGTTTGTTTATTTTTCAAATGCAGGGAGCCCAGTTTTTAACAGAACTTGCCCCTCTGTGCAGGATATCTTCGTCGGATGGAGAGGAATACACTGTTTATAGGTAAGGTTTTCCCCTTTCTCTTCCTGCCCTTGACATACCAGGCGCTTCCACTGCATCCAAACACTTTTGCAGTTGTATACGAGGGCGACTGATAGAAGTGAATGAAAACATTCTTAGCAATCCTGCTATTCTGCAAGAAAAGGTAAGACACTTTCTTGCTTTTTATTTTCTAACTTTTATTTCACTGCTAACTTCAGTCTTGCTTTTTAGCCATCAACCGAGGGATACATCGCAGTGGTTCTACCCAAATTTGAAGAAAGCAAGAGTATAACTCAGGGACTTCTGACACAGAAGGAGTATGAGGAAGTTTTGTCGAAACGTCTTAATTCTTCATGAAATTACGTATACAGTTCTCATCTGTATTTGATACTAAATAAGACTTTTATTGTACACTGTAACTTTCATGGTATCGAAAGGCCCGCTGCCTGTTTTTCAAATTGGAACTTAAACGTTTGATTCATACAAGAATAAACCAGTTCAAATAGGTTTTATACCAAAATGTGCTTTCTCTTTTTCTCTGAATTCTAGCACTACAAGTTTTTAAGTAAGCACAGAACGATACGTTGGAGAGTATTTATGTTCCACAGGCAGCTTTGCTTCTGCTCAGTGCAAGCATAATACATAGAGAAAAATCATATCATTTAGCTAAACTAATACAATATGGAGTTTGACAAAGGTGAACTGAAAATAAAAATGCAACAGAAGCCTATGTACAAAGAGCAGATAAACTCGAAAATACGTATTTCACACCAGGTTGTATTTTCATGGCATCCTGAAGTCAAATAATGCCCTTTGTATGGAAGTTTGTCATAATCGGTGTCTATTTTCTTAAATTTTAAACTGTATAATGTAAAGTCTACATAATACTTCTGTGGTTCTAAACACAATTCAAATTCTACTCCATAAGTTTTAACAGAAAAGGAGGCAACAACTGCCATTACAAATAAAGACAGTAAAAGAAAAAGGGTTCGAGTCAGGAATATTAATCACTTAGAAATACACTTTTGGAAACATGAATCATGTCAACAAGATTAAAATTCAGTGGGGGCAGCTGTTGAAAGAGGGTTTTCCTCTTAGAACTACTTACTTGCAGGTATAACTCGTAACTAAGATAACATTTCAGTGCTTTAGGCCACAGCCTTTCAGACTATATTCCTGATTCTGCTTTATCAAACACATAGACTGAAACGGGCCAGAGATGAGTTTACAGACTTCAACAGTAGTGTTACATATAGCATATGCAGCACAAGGGTCTTTATATAAAATGTCTATTAGCAGCATCTTTGGGTTGAAACATCCATTAAGACATTCATAAGCATTAATTACAAAACCAGTCTCAATAGTAAGCATAGGAAAGGCATTCACATGATAAAAATACGCAACAATTAGACTAGTTGGTGTTGTAATTGCTAAGTAACGGGACATCTATTAGATGTGACAAAGGTCAACAGTTCTAATTCAAATTAACCTGGTTTGACTTTCCACAAATGAAAGCAATATTGAAGATTCAGCAAGTGTTATTTTCAAATGGGAGTTCCTGCATTTCTAAGTGCTATAATTACTTGCTCTCTAAAAATGTCATGTTTGTTACATGGTTTTCTAAAGACTTGATGCCAAATGTCTCGCCTCTCCTTTCTGGAGTATGCGCGTTCGCACCAGTTCGTATTCTGTCTTCTCTCCATGGTGGAGCAGGTTTAAGACAGCCATTTCCTGCTTTGTTCTGTATATTAAAAAAAGATTTCTTAACAAACAAACAAAAATCCCCAACCAAACAAAAAACCCCCCAAAACCTTTAAAATACTGCAGATGCACCAAGTACTCACCTTTCTCAATAGTTTGCAGCAAAGTGGAAGAAGTTGGCATAACAGAGTCATCACATTCCTTGTTTTCAGAATGCATGCATCAACCTAAACAAGACAGTTAAGAGTAGAGTAAGACCACTCATTGCTTTTATTAGGCAATTGTTTAACGCATGAGATGAGGAGTTATTTCAAGCTTGAATAGGTAGCGTTTGTCATTCATAAATCCCTTCTAATCAAAAGGTTTTGACTACCTTTTTTGAATTTACGTAGTACGTGTAAAGCAACAGCATCACTTCTGTTAACCCAAGACTTGAGCTAGGAAGCAGAAGGGAATAAGACACATCCCAGAAGGAACTAATAATAATATAATATTAAATAGTAATCTAAGTGTCTTGGAAAGGAGCTCTTGCCATCTAAGTATGATTCATCACAATTCCAGTTTTTCCTTTTGTTTTACGTCCTGTCAGCATGATTTAGAAAGCCATGCAGCATGTAAGCCTTACCTTGATACCAGTTACACTAAAAGTTACACTAAAAGCTAAATCTTAAAGCATTTGAGTTTATGCCTCAAGTCTCACGCTCAGCACAGGTCGCAAGTCTGGGCCCTCGACAAACATTAATCCGATAGCCTATTACCACTATGTAGTGATACATCACTCTCTATAACCAGGCTGGAGTCCCCATTTAGTTTACCTAGAGAGCGTAGAACAAACAAAGCAGTAGCCCTGAGGTGCTCAGTTTGGTTTTGGGTGACTCGGATGCCCTAGACAGTTTCAGTCCCTGCTGTAAAACTGAAACATCTTTTCTGTAGCTCACTGGAAACAAACATCCAGGTGCACAGAAATGGTCTTGTTCACACTGATCACATTGCTGCTCAGGGATACCTGAAGTTCTTCAAAAAGCCTGACCTCTATTCCCCGCTAAGGTTTGCGGATGTACTTCTGGTGGTAACAATGCTGAAACTTTTATGGCAGCTGTATACATATTTCTTATAACAAATATTAATAATATCAGAGTAAACTCTGGGCAGTCTAGGGCAGGCTCTCTCTACCTACCGAGAAACAAGCATGTATTTCAGTAACAGAGTTTAGGGTTTGGAATTTGTTACGTTGATGTTAAGCATCAATAACAGTAACAATAATTATTACAGTGATGGAAATACAAGTGACCTTCATTAATACTGTGATCACTGAAGTCCCTTCCTAGTGAGGTATGCTTAATTATACTTCATATTTCTCTGAATGAAATTCTAGTGGATTACAGTATTATTATGGACAGTAGTACTCCATCTCGTATCATTCAGCTGAAAAGTCTCAGTTGCAGCATGATAGAATTTCAGTACCTCTCCAGTGTGTAAGCTGAGGGAGATACTGACAGAAGGTCTTTGAAAAAAGTTTTCACCAGTAAAAAGCAATAGTGGAAGCCTATGGATACCTTTCCACCTTTTTTTTTTTTTTTTCCCCTCCAGGAGCAGTCCAGGAAGATCATAGTCTTGGGAAATATTTCTGTAAACTCTTTCACTGACAGTGAAATCCAAAACTCAAATGGTAATTTCAGTAGGAACAGGAAGGAAAAAAATCCTATTACTTTTTTTAACGATTTTTAGATGCTAAAGTTGACAAGCTGGGGGTAGGGGAACTGTTCCTTAAAACATTAGTAACAATGGTATGTCTGTGGCCACTGGGACAGTTATACAAAACTTGAAAAACATTCATTTAAGCCTGTGGAGTAATACTATCCAAGCTATCCACTGGCAGGCTTCCATGTATGCTGGGTGCCAGTGTACCATATTTTGCCTTCTATCGAGCTCTCAGTGTGAATGAGGGAGTCAGGTCAGGACAGACTC